TGGAGGGCCAGAAGGACCGTCATCCGCCTCCCTTCCCTCAGGCAGGGCTCGCCCTCCGCCCCCGTCGCCGCCTCCCTCGAGGCACGCCCTCCCCGAAAGAGAATACGACCCCATCCCCCTTCAGGGATCACTGAGGGGGGAAAGAAGCACACAGACACAATGAATCGTCGATTCCCCAGCAAGTATGGGAACACATGGGAAGTGGGGGGGGGGAGATAAAAACCCACAGAAAATCTTGGAACATATGGGGAATTCTATTCTTTGTGTGTGCGTGTATATATTTGTGTGTCCCAGGGCCCCTTCAATCACTCTTCCCCCCCTCCCCATCCTCCACTCGAGCCCTGACCCAGGGTCGCGCCCAAGGTTGCGTGACCTGCCGCGCACAGGGGCCACCCCCTCCGCCGCTGGACCCCGCGGTGACCGGTGGTCTCTTGTTGCGCGTGTCTCGGGGGCGGCAAAGGGGGGGGTGATGACTGGGGGGGGGATATCATGGCGGGGGGCCATGATATTTCCCCAGATTTCATGGCGCCTCGTTTTATTTCATCACGTCCCTGGCCCCCCCGCTGGGCCGCGCACACGCCGCCGGTCATGATTAGCACCCCCCCCCCCTGGACGCCCCCTCTTGGCCGACCCCGAGTGTCCGGAGCCGTCCACGAACGGACCGCGCAGCCTGGAGGAGGCCACGCGGAAAAGGTTGGGTCGACAGGTATCGGGGCGCAGCGCAAGCGGGGCTCAGCCAGAGCGACGAATTCTGCAGGGTCCTGCGAAGCCGGCTTTGGGCTGGAGAGTGGATTTGGGCAGCCGCTGGCGGTCCTGCAGGTGGCCCTGCCGCAGCGGCAGGGCCCGGCCGTGGGACGCCCCCAACAAGAGACGTTGTTTAGCGCAGGTTTCCGAATGGGCGGAGCCAGGTTTGCGCTGAGCCGGGTCGGGTTATTCCACGCCTGAAGTCAGGAGGGGAAAAACACACAGGCACAATTAATCGTCAATTCCCGAGAAAATATGGGAAAATATGGGAAGTGGGGGGGAAGTTAAAAATCCAGAACATATGGGGAATCTGTTATGTGTATGTATTGATTTGTGTGTTTGTGGGCCCCTTCATGAAGAGCGGATGGATCCGCGGGTTCTGTTTACAGCCAGGGCCAGGGGCCAGGAGGCGGATGCGCCGCTCCCCGGTCGCCCGTGCATCGCCGACGGGGGCCCGATGATCCAGCACACGAGCGTGCCGATGTTCAAGGGCTCCCTCGAGGGCGCGAAGTTATTCGCGCTTCGCGGTCCTCGTTCCTTCTCCCCCTCCTCCTCGTCCTCCTATTCTCCCTTTGGGAGGGCGGCGCGAGAGCGCGAAGTTATTCGCGCTTCGCGCTTCGCGCAGCGCGAAGCGCGAAGTTGGGAGCCCTAGATGTTCATAACCCAGCGCTCATCGCCGATGTGTCGGCGATGCTATCGCCGATTCCAGGCGAATGTTTCCCCCCCGAGCTGGTCACCCCTTACGTTGCCCGTCATCTTCCTCGACAGCCATGCAGCCACGGCGTTGAAACAAAGATTACTCTACGCTTTGGGAGAGGCCCAGGTTTCTGGGCCGTTCCTCCGGTCTAGGCGGGGCAACCTTTCGTGGTCCATCAATGTTTGGGCGTGTTCCTGCTTAGTGTAGCACGATAAATGCATCCCCATCCACAGTCCAGCCGTTCTGCCCCTGCCCCTCCTCCATCCATCTGTCTTCTCTCGTGGCTCGGGCCGCACACTTCAACGTGCCTCACGAGCACGCGCAACCATAACTTCCGTCACCGTGTTGCTCTCTCCGTCGCCGCAGTGGGAGGGCAACCATGGGCCAGGCAGTTGCGGGTCGTGCTCGCAGAACATGGATTCATCGCCTTGTGGCGCGAGGCTGCTCAGCAGGCCGTCGCATGTGACACATCTCGTCTCGACGTCCTGCGAAGCTCTCACGGGGGGGACTATTTTGGACTTTTGGTGGACGTCTTGGCCCTGAGGCCGTCCATGGGCCGTCCATGGGCCTGATTAAGCCGTCTTAGGGGTCTATTGGTTGTCCGGGGGAGTCTCGTGGGGCCGTCTTGGGGCCTTCTGAGGGCGTCTTGGGTCCACCCCGAGGCCCTCTTGGGCCAGCTTGGACTCTCTTGGACCGTCATGGGCCGACTCAGGGCCCTCTTGGGCCGGCAGTGGAGATCTTCGACCGGAAGCGTGGAAAGCGAGCATCTCTCAAGAGCTTCTGGGGAGTGCCTTGGGGGTCCCTTGGGGTCTGTTGTAGGCCTCTTTGGATTTGTTTTGCAACTCTCAGTGGCTCATGGGTGCTTTTTGAGGCAAACTCGTGCCACTTTCCACTGGGCCATCTAGGAACCCTTTCAAGAGCCTTTGAGAGCACGGTTGATTCGTCTGAGCCCCTCCCCACTGGCTTGTGGAATGCACGCGTTTGTATCGAGATGGTATTGAGATGTTTAAAAGCCCTTTCAAACCGAGGGTGTCTACGGTTTGGTCGATTCGGCTACGTCGCAGGTGGTTTGGTTCTATCATAATCGGTTGTTCTGTCGTGGGCGTGTTGCCACCCCCCCTTGGTTTCGTTTCGACTCATTCGGTGTCGGTTCGGTTCCGCTGCTGGCTCGGGCGGTGTTCGGTTGTGCCGTCGCCGCTGGCGACCTTGCAGACAGCACTTGGCATTCTGCCACGCCTCAACGCGCCAGGGGTACAGCAGCGCACTCTGCTGAATTGGCGACAACGTGCAGGCGCCGCGACGAGGGTAGCCGCGGGTGTTCGTCGCGGCCGCGCGCAGCGACGCGGCGGAGGCAGACGGTGAAGAGCCGAAAAGTACGGGAGGAGGAGGAGGAGGAAGAGGAGGAGGAGGCGGAGGAGGAGGCGGATGAGGAGGAGGAGGAGGAGGAGGAGGAGGGGGAGGAGGAGGAGGAGGAGGAGGAGGAGAGGAGGAGGAGGCGCGCAGGCGGAGGCGGAGGTGGTGGTGGGGCGGGGCGGAGGGAGGGGAGGGGAGGGAGGAGGAGAGGAGGGAGGAGGAGGAGGAGGCAGAGGACGCGTAGAGGAGGGAGGAGGAGGAGGAGGAGGAGGAGGGAGGAGGAGGGAGGAGGTGGGACAAGGGGAGGGAGGAGGGAGGACGCGGAGGACGCGGAGGAGGAAGAGGAAGGAGGGAGGAGGGGGAGGGAGGAGGGGAGGAGGGAGGAGGAGAGGAGGGAGGACGGAGGGAGGACGGAGGACGGAGGACGGAGGAGGGAGGGAGGAGGGAGGAGGGTGGAAGGAAGACGGAGGAGGGAGGAGCGAGGAGGCAGGAGGGAGGAGGGAGGAGCAAGGAGGGAGGAGGGAGGAGGGAGGGAGGAGCGAGGTGGGAGGAGGGAGGAGGGAGGAGGGAGGAGGGAGGAGGGAGGTTTCTGTTCAACGCTGGGCTTTGCTGGTGCGTGCTCCGTACCCTCTAGGCTGACTGGGAGAGTGGCGCTCCGGACCACACGAGGATCCGCCACTTACGCCACCACGCAGCCAGCGCTCGAAGTAGAAAGAAAAAGGATGAGGGGCCCGAGCCCCCCTCAGGGCCCCACCTGAAAACCGAGCCCCCTAGAGCGTCTCCAGCGATCCAAGGGGCGCGCGCCACGAGGGCTGGGCGAGCGCGAGCGGCTCACCGAGACCTCGCGGCAGAGACGGGGTGCCGGCCCTGCGGGGCAGTCGCATCGGGCCGTGCGCAGGCGCAGGGATGCCTGGCCGCAGCGGGAGGCGCCGCAGCTAGACGCATCGGGCCCTGCGCAGGAGAGAGGGGACGAACCTGCGAGGCAGACTGGGAGGGTGGCGCTCCAGACCTCACGAGGATCCGCCACTTTCGCCACCTCCCAGCCACCGCTCAAAGGAGAAACAAAAGGATGAGGGACCCTCAGGGCCCCTCCCGAAGACCGAGCCCTCGAGAGCGCCTCCAGCGACCCAAGGGGCGCGCGCCTCGAAGGCGAGGCGGGCGCGAGCAGCTCTCCGAGTCTTCGCGGCAGACTTGTTTGCCTTGATGCGGGGCTTGCTGGGCCTCGCTCAAGGCAGGAGGGGGAGGAGGAGGAGGAGGACAAGGGGGCGACCTCAACGACGACGTCGGAGGCGAGGAAAAGACAAGAGGAGGAGGGCCAAAACATAGTCGTCAACGACAAAAGCCAGGGCTTCTGCCCCGGCAGCTGTGACCTGTAGATCCAGAAATTGCTGCTCATCATCGGCTTCGCATGACTGTAGCGGGACCGAGACAGGAGGCTCAGGTTCCTTCTGGAACCTGCTCCTCTCTGGGTCGGCGCGTTTGCTTTTCTGGGCTTTCGCGCCGAAGTCCGAGGGAACAAGGAAACGCGAGTCCGAATCCGAGCTCCAAGGCACTAAGAAAGCAGCAAACAGAGCATTCAACGCCTCGGGGGAATCACGAGCAAAGTCGAGGTAGGCATCCTCGTCTACGTCGGCCACAAACTAGGCCAGAGACGCAAGGATGGAGCGGGCCAGGGCCCAGAGGAGGGAGGAGGGAGGAGGGAGGAGGGAGGGGGGAGGACGGAGGAGGAGGAGGAGGAGGAGGAGGAGGAGGAGGAGGAGGAGGAGGAGGAGGAGGAGAGGAGGAGGGGGAAAGAGGAGGAGGGGAGGAGGAGGGAGGAGGAGGAGGAGGAGGAGGAGGAGCGGAAGGAGCTCTCCTCCCAGGGCGAGGTGGAGGCACAGACGCGAGCACCGAGGCGGGGCACCCTCGGCCCACCTTTCCACCTGGCGTTGCCACGCACGCCCACGCGCACACGCACGCGCACGCGGGTGGCTGACCTCCGCCGCCACGGCGGCACGCACTCGCGGGTCAAGGCAAGCTGTCCTCCTCCTACCCCTCCTCCTCCTCCTCCTCCTCCTCCTCTCCTCCCTCCTCCCTCCTCTCTCCTCCCTCCTCCCTCCCTCCCTCCCTCCTCCCTCCTCCCTCCTCCCTCCTCCCTTCCTGACCCCCCCCCCCGGGAGGCCGGCCAGGCGCCGGGCCGCCGCCGACCTGCCTGGAGGGGGTCCGGATGCTGGAGACTGGGCGCCGCGTGGGGGCAGCGTGGATGGGGGGTATCGTTCAACCAAGTCCCATCCCCGTCCCCATCCCCATCGAGACCCCCACCAAATCAACACCCCAGTTGGGGATACACCCCAAAGGATCTGAGGTGGATAGACCTCCTACCCTGACACGTCGATTAAGGAATTGGCCGTTTTCGGTTCGCGGGAGGGCGCCGCGGCCGTCGTTTTTGCGGGTCCAGGTCCGTCGGTTTCGGCCCCAGGCCGCTTTTACTAAGGGGAGGTTTACTAAAGGGAGGTTTGTCCTCCGCCGATCGAGACCCCCACCAAATCAACACCCCAGTGAGGGATACACCCCAAAGGAACGACCTATATCCCCATCTAGGGGGGTAATTCGGCCAGTGGGGCCCAGGCCTCGCCGCTGGGGGTGGGGAGCGGTGAAACGATACTCAGAATGGTCGACGTCCAACTTGTGGCAGGCGATCGCAGACATGGATTCAGGAGGCGTGGATTAGCGACGGACGGGTCCCGTTTTCACGGGAAATCGCCGCCGAGCGAGGCGGCACCGGCTGCATTTTGGGGAGGGCACCTCCCCAGATCCATGGATTTGGCGACCGCGCGCCAGATCCATGGATCGCTAGTCAATGTTTGCGCGCCCCCGATTGTGGAGTCCATAAGCAAGATAGCAGGGTGCCAGAAGGCCGTAGAAAAGGCCTAGCGAAGAACTCTGGAAGGAACTGGAGAGAGCTTCCGGAGGACCTTCTGGAGAGCATCCCGGCACGCGTATCGGGAAACGCCTATAAAAGGCCTGCCGGAACTCGCTGCGAACTCAAGCAGGGCGCTCTGGCGCTGGAAAATGGAAAGTGTGCCTGATGCTTGCCCAAGAGGGTACCGGGCCGGACGAAAGGGGGGGATTGGGAAAGGAGGGGGTTATGAAATCTGCTGCACGCAGCTGGTTTCGGCCCCACCGAGAGGCCCATTCCTCGATACGCCTCCGGCGCCGGGAGGCGCCGTGCGGCGCTTGGTTGGGGCGAGGGCGTGGGCCTCCCTGATGCGAAGTCCTGGATTTAGGTTTAAGTCGGGCCTGTCCCTCTACAGGAGGAATATTCAAAAATAGTAGAGAACTAGTCAGGGGACAACTTTTTGACTATTTTTGAACATTGGGGAGTGTTTTGGGGTTATTTGTTAATTTGTCCTCCAAACTCCGCCTGTAGGGCGACATGCCCGACCTAAACTTAGGTCGGGCGTGTCCCCCTACAGGCGGATTTTGGACGACAAATAGAATATGTTAAAGAGATACCCCCAAAGATACCGAGACATATTCAAACAAACGTGCCCATGTTATTTTTCGACCTGTTTTTCTTAAATATTCCTCCTGTGGAGGGACAGGCCCGACTTCATCCTGGACCGCCGGCGAGGCCCCCCGCAGGGCCCTCTTGGATCCCTCTCTTGGGCCCCTCTCCTGCGGCCCGGGCAGGGCCCTGCAGACCTCGTCAACGGCCCCTTGCATTACAACAACACTTCAGTCGGGCCTGTCCCTCTACAGGGGGAATACTCAGAAGTAGTAAAAAAATAGTATGGGGACGTTGTTTTGAGGATTGTTTTGCATTTTGAGGGGTATTGTTTTGAGTATGGTTTATGTTTCGTCCAAAATCCGCCTGCAGGGGGATACGCCCGACCTGACATTACAACAACACGCTGCCTGCTGTTGGGCCGAGCCGTCGCTGGAAAACCTGGTAATTTGCGATCTCCCCAGTGGCGCACCGCTGCTCACCGACTAGTGCAGCCTTTGGATCCTCAGACAATTCAAAGTCGCTCCAGAAAACCTCCACAAATCACAGAAAACTTCGGAAAGACTGCGAAAGCCGCCCAAACCGTGGAAACTTTAGAACAACGCTGGAGATGTTGGAAAACACTGAAAAACATAAAGACACATAAAAACAGCCAATAAGGCAACAACACAATGGACAAACAACATACAATTGCATTGTCTAGTTTTGCTGATCGCTTACCGGGTGGCCAACTACGTTGGCTGTTGTTTGCTACTTAACCTTGGCGGCTACTAGGTTTCGACTTAACTCGTTGGCCCCCCAATGCCTCGTTCACCACAGAATGCGGGATCTTTGCGCCCAGTCTAACACCATTGGCCGTTGCGACCTTTCAGTTCTGCACCAGCGGGTCGTTCATCAGACCCAGGCTCTTTGCCACGCGTCGCCGATCAGCGACGCCATGGACACAATCTATGAGCTCGTCAGCGAACACCGCATGCGCGTCAAGAGTCTCGCTTTTCCGAAGGGTCAAGCTTTCATAGGATGGACTGGTTGTGGCATATCCTCAGGCGCTGGCTCACACAAGCGTGAAGGCGGTCAACGCCGACCTCGAGGTTGGGGGCGAACAAGAAAGCGTTGGCGTAGTGGCGAAGCTCGGGCAAGTTGCATACGCCGACCCCTATGATAAATGTAAAAACCTGCTAACGAACAGCGCCTGCGGGTTCAAAAGAAAAATGCCCCTCCTCTTCCTCCTCCTCGCCCTTCCCTCATCATAATTTTCTTACATGTCCTCCCTTCCCACCCTTCGACTTGGCCCCAGACCTCCCCGGGGCCCAGGACTGATTTCCGAAAAAGCGGAGGAGGAGGAGGAGGAGGAGGAGGAGGATGGGATTGACCAACCTTCGATTCAATTTGGCACCAGACTCCAGCAACTCACGCGTGATGGCATGCATTCGAGCGCGCTGGTCTGAGCTGCACGACTGATATCGCACACAAAACGGCGTGCCCTCTGCTGGTCAACATGGCCGAGAAAACACAACTTCAATGTGAGGACTTGCCAGGCATCTGTTTTCACCCGCATGTGCAGCGCCATCCGCTGATTCCCACACCCCAAGTCGAGCGCAAGGGTAGCTCTCTCCTGCTCCGAGGTCCTGCGGCAGTGCAGGAGGAGAGATTCCAAGCTCGCCTGGGCCACGGAGGTTTCGACCAAAGCAGCCCAGCCCTCCATCGGCAATCTCGGGGCACCGCCTCCCGCGCATGGGGCCCTGGCATTCAGTCGAGCTTGTCCCTCTACAGGACGAGTATTCTTAAAACGTTGTCAAAAAATAGTCAGTGGACGATTGTTTCAGTATTTGTTTATATTATGTTTAATTTGTCCTCCAAAATCCGCCTGTAGGGGGTCACGCCCGACCTGACGCTGGCTTTGGCCGCCGTACCTCTGCTCAGCAAGCAGCATCTTGATGCGCCATCCAGAGATTTTGGAGAGACCATCCGGAGATTTTGCAGAGACCGCTGGCCGGGGGAGCGGCAACTTCTCGCTGGGGACGCAGACCATTGGGCAAGTCTGGTGTCGGATTTTCTTTCAGATTCGGTGACGTCGCTCTTCGAGTCCTGAGGGTCTCGCGTAGGGTCCTGCCCCGTGCGGGTCACCTTTGCCAGGACATCACTTCACTTCACTTCATCTCGATGCGCTGGTTGTGACGTGTGCATGACTGGCACCATGCGCTCGTAGGCGCGGGCACGCTGCTCGGGGAGCGCAGCAAGCGAGGGAAGTGCCTACAAGGAGTGCGAGGCCAACAACACCTCCACAGCACTTGCTAAACCGGGCCTGTCCCTCCACAGGAGGAATGTTGCAAAAGAGTCAAAAAATAGTCGGGGGATGATTTTTTGATTCTTTTCTGGTTTGGGGGGCATTGTTCAAGTATTTTTCATTTTTCTGCCAAAATCCACTCTCACCACCCACCAAACCACCCCAACCCAACCCGAAGGCCTCAATTTGTCCTCCATTTCCAGTTGGGGGGGGTCGGGGAACATTAAAAAAACACATATGAACCCGTACCCCCCCCACCCGAAATTCGAGTCTTCGGGTTGGGTTGGGGTTGTCTGGTAGGTAGTCACACCCGTAGGGGGACAGGCCCGACCCAAAGCACGTGCCACAACGCCAATCTATTCAGACCTTGGGGGGCCGATGGATCAAGCAGCACGCGCTGGCTCCGCCGAGGGAGCCTCACCTTACGTCGGGCCTGTCCCTCTACAGGGGGAAATTTCAAAAATCATGAAAGCATATTCTGGGGATGATTGTTTGGCCATGCTTGATTATGTTTTGGTTCTTTTTGTTGATTTTCATTTTGTCATGCAAAACCCGCCTGTAGGAGGGCACGCTCGACCTAAGCCTTGCCCATCTGCTCCCTGGCCCTCTCCTGGGGCGCGTTCGGACCAAAGTTTCGAGGATAATCCAGCTGCGGCGGAGAGAGCTCCCGAGACATACGACGTCCTGACGTTTCCAGAGCGCGGCCCCTGTAAGTCCCGACTCTTTCTTCCCCGGGACCGGTTTTTCATCCACGACTGGTCAAGCCGAAGTCGGCCCCTCATGCCACCCCCGATTTTCAGCCCCCCCACCCAACGAGGAGTTGGAACGCGAGATCCCTGGACATGCATGCATCTCGCCCCCCTCGGCACTTGACATCGCCATCGGCGTCGGCGGGGCCAGCAACCCTATCTCGCTCGGCCTCGCCCCTGCCGCGATCGAGGAGCTTGGCCATGTCCCAGGTGGAGCGGATCACCTGGGCGCGCGCGCGAGACAAGCAGACGACATCCCAGGCGGAGGGGAGGGGGCGGGAGAGAAGGAGGAGGAGGAGGAGGCAGAGTGATGTCCTCCTCCTCCTCCTCCTCCTCCTCCTCCTCTTCCTCCTCCTCCCCCTCCTCTCTCCCCATCCCCTCTCTCCCCCAGTAGTCGGTGTAGCTTCTTGTTCCTCCACGACCTCTTCCTTCTAGAGCAGCCACCACGAGACGGTCTCAACGTTGCCCCACGCTCGGCCGCCGTCGAACGAGTGCGGGCCAGAGCTGAATTTCCAGTGCAGAGCTTGCGGCACCAACGCGGCGTTGTAGAGCTGCCTGTTATATGGAGCGTGGACCATGGAAAAGCCTCGTCACAGTGTTTATGCCCATCTCGACTCCCATATCTGCGCAAATGCCGACGACGCAGGATGCAAGTTGAGCTGAGCATGCCCATGTTTCAGTCGCTAGCAGCAAATTGTGACACACAGCATGCATCTTTGCAGCCAGACAGCTCTGTCGGGTGCTTAGAGTCGTGGGCGGGAGAGTGTGATCTACGATGCTGGAAGCAAGCTGACACCGCATGTCCTCGTGCACCTCGCAGTCGGCTGGGGTCTCCACGGTATGTTGCATCATCATGCGTTTGGCGATTGCGGTGCACTTATCGAGATCGTCTCCAGAGAGGACCTGCAGCTCGCACAACTTCCAATTGCGACCACGTTGAGGGATGGAATCGATCAGAGCAAATATGACAGAACGTACATCTGCAGCGAGCAGCTTGGCATGGCGACGCTGGTTGATGACCATGCAGGCCGCGTCGACGCAGAGGCGAGCGCGGGACGCCGTCGATGCTGATGTTGCAGCAGATTTTGATTCAAAAACGGCCTTCAAACTACTGCGCCAAATTGAAGGTAGAAGCCAGAGAGCCTGTCTAAGAGAAGACTGAAGCGCACCAGCGGATCTCTTATGTACTCCATTAGAAAACCAGCTTTGTATTTCACGAACTTCCCCAACTGATCGTTCCAGTCTCCCCTGCCTCATTACATTATATATTGATTGATTGCTCGAGTTCCGCTGCACTCGTGACCTGCTGCCCTGAGCTAATGCACGAATTTCTCAAGCTCTATCCTGTCACCATGTGACCCATGCGTTACAGTCGGCCCGGATTGGTAGGTCGACCCTGCCAAATCAAGGGTTTTCTTGTGGCCCTCGGAAGGGTGTTGTGTCCTCTCGCGTGTCCTGTCCAACCATGTTCCACTGTATTATGCTTGTCCATCGGGCGAGGGCGTCAGCGACGTGCCCCAATTTGCCGCTTCTCGATGTCCCCGACGAGTTCAATGTGTCCAGGGCCTCAGTTTGCAGAGCGACGTGGCGGTCTTTGCATTGACTCCAGCCTTCCATGTCGCCAACGTCGTCTTTGATCCCGCGCATGTCGCTGCTGCCATAGATCCGAACTCCTGGTGGTTACGCAAGAAACTCCCAAGATCCAGAAACTACCAGCTTGGCCGCAAAGCAAGGCAACATCAATGTTGACGAAGGTGCGGCACCGTCCACCAAGCTGTTCTCCGGAAAATGATCCCACCGAGCGTTGACTAGATCCTCTGCTCGTACCCAGTGTGAAGCGAGAATGGCGAGGGCTTGTCCGATGCTATTCTACGTTCCCATCCAGCTCGGCGGCATCAAGATACATATATATATATACATATGTAATTCAAATCTGCATGCGCGATTCAACCTCAGGGCCACGAGCCCGATGATCTTACCCTGGGCTTCTGCCCACGTCCGCTTGCAAATGCTCCGAAAGCGGGGCCCTTCTGTCCCTTCACAGGCACCCACTATATGCTCAGCAGTTGGGCCTCGAGGGCGCGCCTTGGAACCGGTTCGCAATCGCGACCGCCGCTTTCGTCACGGAATCGACCTGGCAGCCTTGGGACCCGACGCACGAGGCCCAGGTGCACGGGCATCCCCACCCGGTCCGAGTCGGACCTTCGACTGACGGGCCTCCTCCTCCTCCTCCTCCTCATCCTCCTCATCCTCCTCATGCTATTCTCTGCTTCCGTCCTTTCTTCTCTCCCGCCTCCTTTTTCCCCTGGGCCATGCGCGACCCAGTGAATCCGCATGCCGTGTCCTCCTGATCCTCATCCCTCCTCTGTTTCCCTGACTTCCCCCCTCCCTCCTCCTCTTTCCCCTCGGCGATGCGCGACCCAATGCATCCTCATGCCGCCGCCCGCCGTGTGAAAGCTGCTAGCCCGACACCACGCAGTCTGGCTCACTTCCGCTCCGTCTTGCGCTCAGCGTGGGCAACTCCGACATGGCGGCCCGTCGCTCCCACGACGACCTCCCAGCAGCTGCCTCCTAACCTCCTCCTTCCCGCCGTCATCGTCGTCGTCGCCGTCATCGTCGCCGTCGCCGTCGTCGTCGCCGCCGCCGCCGTCGTCGTCGCCGTCGTCGCCGTCGCCCCCGCCGCGAGAGGAGCGCGGCCCGGTGTCCCGGATCCTGTTCCCCGCGCCTCCCCCGAGCTACGGCCGGGCCAGCTGGCCGCAGGAGCGCGCCAGCCTCCGCCGGCGGCCTCCCGGGCGCGGTTTCCGGGAGCGGCAAAGAGGGGGGGTGATGACTGGGGGGGGGATCTCATGGCGCGGGCCATGATTTTTCTCCGGATTTCAGGGCGCCTCTTCTTGTTTCACTGCGTCCCATGGCCCCCCCGCTGGGCCGCGCACGTGCCGCCGGTCATGATTTGCACCCCCCTCTTGGACACCCCCCTCTTGGCCGCTCCCGAGGGCTGCCGGCTCGGCAGCCGCGCGGCGCGCCGCCTCCCCGCAATGGCACGACGAGGACGACGACGGCGACGCAGGCGTCGAGACGACGGCGAGCTTTGACGCTCGAGGCCTCCGAGGGTGCCAAGCAGATGGGGTCGAGGGATCACTCCGCGTCGACGATGCGGCTCGATGTCTTGGCATCGCTCGGACGTGTGCACTTTTTCTCGGCGAGAGCCATCGAGGAACATCCTGGACCATCGAGCAAAAAAAAACACGCACGAAACCGAAGAATACACGGGAAATGGACGTCCGAGCGACGACAAGATGTGGAGCCAAGGTTTCTCCACGCCGATGGCCCCGGTGCGTTGCCGATGCTGCGCGGGACCTTCCGGCCCGTCTTCGATCGGGCTCCTTCCCGGAGGCCTTTTGGACACAATTGGCGTCGTGCAAGAGAGCACGACGGCGCGACGAGGGGGTGGTGTCAGACTTCGGCCCCGACGCGTTGCGCCGATGCTGCGCGATCCTCCGGCCCGTCTTCGCTCGGACTCCATGCCGGAGGCCTCTGGACGCCGTGGCGTCGTGGAGGAGAGCACGGTGGCACGGCGAGGGGGGTGGTGTGGTTGGACCGCGGCCTCCCGCGGGGCCCTCCCTGGGCCCAGGGGGGCCGTCCCAGGGACGACCCGGGATGGAGCATGCCGGGAGGGACAAGAAACACAGACACTCGGAGGTGGACAGACCTCCCACCCTGACACGTCGGTGAAGGAATTGTCCGTTTTCGGTTCGCGGGAGGGCGTCGCGGCCGTCGTTTTTGCGGGTGCAGGTCCGTCGGTTTCGGTCCCAGGCCGTTTTCACTAAGGGGAGGTTTTACGAAAGGGAGGTTTGTCCACCGCCGAGACGCACTTAGTCGTCGATTCCCCCGAAACAAGATGGGAAAACATGGGAAGCGGGGGGGGGGTAGACCGAAACGCCCAGAAGCTATGGGAACCTGTGTGGGGCGTCCTGTCATCTGCGTTTGGTGACTTGCGCGTCCCAGGGCCCCTCGGAGACATGGCCCCGGGGCAGCGGGCGGCAGACGTTGGGGGGCCTCCGGGGGCCGCGGGCGTGGGCTTAGGGCGCGGAGAGAGGAGGGCGGCCCCTTCTGGGCTCCCGGAAGGCGCTCGGGCTGGCGGGCGCCGCTGTCGCAGGTCTCTAGTACTCAGGTCGGGCCTGTCCCCCTGCAGGGGGGTTTTCGACGAAAAATAAAAAACAAATACCCCCAAAATGCCCCAAGAAGGTACAAAAAACAAAAAAATGCTCAACAAAATAGTCCCCGGACTATTCTTGGACTATGTTTTGACTATGTTTGGTGTATGTTTTAAATTTTTTCGTCGAAAATCCTCCTGTAGGGGGACAGGCCCGACTCAATCCTACCTTGACACGTCGATTGCAGTGGGGGCGCGCATCAAGAAACCAACTGCTTTTCGTCAGGGTATCCTGGGTTTCTTCGCTCCGCGCGCCGCGCGGTGGCTTGCCGCAGCCGGGGGAGGAGAGGCTGCGTTCAGGGTGCTCTGGGATTCCCCTCAGGTGCACCTCGCGCGCGGGTTTTTCAGTCTTGGGTTTCCTGCGAGGGTTTCTTCTGGCCGCGCCCTCACTGTAGACCTCCTACCCGGACACGTCGATTAGCGAATTGGCCGTTTTCGGTTCGCGTGAGGGTCGCTCGGTCGTCACTTTTGTGGGTCCAGGTCCGTCGGTTTCGGTCTTGGGCCGTTTTGACTCAAGGGTGGTTTACTGGAGGGAGGTTTGTCCACCGCCGAACGGGGAGGGAGGAGCGCGCCGCGTCGCCGATGCCTCGGCGATGCGTCGGCGATGTGGCTCGCTGCGGAGCCCGATGGTCTCCACGCCGGCATCGCCGACTGGGTAGTCGAAGGCCAGGCTGTCAGATTGGATTGGGCCCCGAGGCCCAATCTGGCCCGGCCAAACTGGAGGATTGGGGTTATCCGCCAGACTGGATTCGCGTTGGCTCCCTCGCCAGATTGCCCCCGTTTGCCAGATTGATTGGGCCTGCCAGATTGGCTCAGGAGGGAAAAAAACACACAGACACAATTAATCCTCGATTCCCAGGAAAATATGGGAAAATATGGGAATTGGGGGGGAAGACAAAAACCCAGAAAATATGGGAAAATATGGGGACTATTTTTATTTGTGTGTATTTATTTGTGTGTCCTAATTTCCCTTTATTGGCGCCAGATTGGCTTCGACTACCCAGTCCACGCCGGCATCGCCGCTGCATCGCCCGCGTCGCCAGGGCATCGCCGGTGCAGCGGCGGTGCATCGGCGGGGCGGCGCGGTGCTCCGACCTGAGCTGCTCCGACCCCCTCGGAGCGGCCTCGGGTCGATCTCTGTCACTGGGCCTGCCCATGGCCGCGGCCCGTCGGGGCCCGAGTAGCCCCCCCTTTGTTCCTGGTGGTAGGTCGCACGATGACTGTGTAAAACCCAAAGCGTCGGAGGTCGGGGATTGGGTCAGTTTGATGGGCCTGTTTTTCCTCCACCACCACCAGAAGTTGGAGGGGGGAGGGAGGTGGAGGACGAGGAGGAGGGAGGACGAGTAGGAGGAGGAGGAGGAGGAGGAGGAGGAGCAGGAGGAGGAGGAGCAGGAGGAGGAGGAGGAGGAGGAGGAGGAGGAGTGAGTGAGTGAGTGAGTGAGTGAGTGAGTGAGTGAGTGAGTGAGTGGAGGAGGAGGCCCCCCTCCCCCTCCAACTCATGGTGGTGGTGGTGGTGGTGGAACGCGGGCCCATCGCAGTTGGGGGCGGCGTGGGCCCCGCTGGGGGGCCGCGCGGGGCATCGTCGCTGCAGCCTGCCGCGCCGGCGACGAGGCGCCGGGGAGGATCGGGCCACGCTGCAGGGGCAACGTTATATATAGAGGGGGCGACAGGCTCATGGGGGGACGCAGCGGCGTCCTCCAGCAGGCCCAGACCGCCCCAGCGCAAGAGGGGAACAGACCTGAAGGGGCCCTGGGACACACGAATCGTGAAAGACACCAGTATATCAGGACTCCCCTATATTTCCTTATGTTTTCTGGATTCTCGTCGTTACACCCACTTCCCATGCTTTCACATATTTTCCTGGGGATCGACGATTGCTTGTGTCTGCGTGTGTGCAACGGCGTCCAGTCGCCCACTCATCGCCGATCGGGACCCGACGGGCCGTCCCGCCCAGGAGCGTGCGGACTTATTGCCTGGGGCCCATCGCCGATCCATCGGCGATGTACCGCCAATTCCAGGCCGATGTTGCCCCCCCCCCCCCCCCCTTCGACTACACGTAAGAGCGACCCTTCGCCGGAGTGACCTTTGGTGCGCGCTCACCGGGTTCCTCCGATCGCCGCGCTCGGCGCGATAGTAGCGTCTTGCGCGCTTGTGTTTGGCCTCCTCGCGCCCCCACAGAAGCCGCGCACCAAAGGTCACTCTTGCCCAGGGTCACTCTTGCGTGCAGCCGACCCCTGAGCCGGTGCCCCCTGGTCTTGTCCTCAACTCTGGGGCGACTGGGGCCTCGCTTTAGGTCGCCACGACGGCGGCAGCGAGACGGCGGCGAGGGTCGGGTCACGCGGGGGCGGCCTGGGCCTCTTCGAGGCCGCGCTGGGCGTCGTCGCCGCCGCCGCTGGCAGCCACGACGGCGGCGACGAGACGGCGGCGAGGATCGGGTCATCTTGGGGCGCGACGCGCGGCGTCGCCTCCTCGCCGTCGGCGGCCGCGGTGGCGGCGAGGAGTCGGCGGCGAGAGCGGGCCATGGATGGGGTGGTCTGAGCCTGCTTGAGGCTTCTGGGGAAGGGGCCGCCTCTGACAGTCAAGAATGCTGAAAGAAGGCCGCTTTGGGTTCGAAGGGGGATCGCTGTTCCGTAGGTCCTTCCATGGTTGTTCCTCTCGCAGACGCTTTGGGGGGCAAAAGCGGTTCCGTTCCTTATTTAGCGTTCCTTCTTGCAGCAGCCCGACTGCAGTGGAACGAGCAAAGGCACAAGCATGACAACTCGGAGGTCCGCGCGTATTCCTTGGATCGGTGCTGGGGCCCCCTGGCGGCTTTTTCGTCGTCCCTGGCGCGCTCCGCGCGCCAGGGAGAGGGGTCCGCGCCGATCTGAGGAAACTGGGCGGGCCTTCGAGGTGTTGTGTGTATGTCATAGACTTCGGGAGGGAAAACACACATACACACACACACTGACACAATTAATCGTCCATGTCCTGGGAAATATGCGAAAATATGGGACGTGGGGGGGGAAAGACGAAAATCTAGTAAATGTAAGAATCTATAGGGGGATCCTGTTATTTGTGTCTTTTTATTCGTGTGCCCCAGGGCCCCTTCAAGTCTATTTCCCTCGCCTTGGGGCGGTCTGGGCCTGCTGGAGGCCTGCAGGAGAGGGGCCACCTGGGACCTCCGCACCCCAGGACGCGGCCGGGAGGCGTGGGGCGACGTCGGTCGTCGGCCATCGTCTCGTTGCCACCTCGTCGTCCGTCGCCTCGTCGTCGTTGCCGTGTCTGGTCGTTGTTGTCGTCGCGTCTCTGTCTCGTCGTCGTCGGGTCCGCCGTCTCCTCCTCGTCTGGTCGTTGCCGTTTCGCCGTCGCCTCGTCCGTCGTCGTCGCTCGTCGTCGTCTCTGCCGGCGACGACGCCGTCGACGCTTCATCATACTCGTCGGTTTCGTCTTCCTTCTCCGCCGCCCGCTCCTGGGGACTACCGCAGCTCGCACGGTGCTGCCGCTGCCGCTCCTCTTGCTGCTCGTCCTCCACCTCTTCCTCCTCCTCCTCCTCCACCTCCTCCTCCTCGTCCTCCTCGTCCTCGTCCTCGTTCCTTTTCCTCCTCCACCTCCTCCACCTCCTCCTCCGTCGCCGTCTGGCTGAAGCTCCGCGTTCGCAGATTGCCTCGGGCTCGCTCCGCGGGCGTGCCGCCGCCGGGGCCGATGCAGGCAACGCCGCACATGGGAGCTGCGCGGCCCCGGGAGAGGCCGCGCGCGGCGTACCCCGCGGCGGTGCATATTGCCGCCGGCGGCCTCCTCGCCACGCATTCTCGCGAGGGCGTTGGGGCTTCCACAAGCTGCGGGAGGGGCGCACGAGAGCCGCGGTCCCCGCGCGGGGGCGCACCGGCTCCTCCTCCTCCTCCTCCTCCTCCTCCTCCTCCTCCTCCTCCTCCTCCTCCTCCTCCTCCTCCTCCTCCTCCTCCTCCTCCTCCTCCTCCTCCTCCTTACGAGCCGCGGAAGGGGCTCATGAGAGACGCAGTCCCCTGCGCCCGTGTCGGCTGTGGACGCGGCGGCTCCTCGGAGGCGCCGCGAACTTCGCGGTACGCGGCGGCGCGGGGGGGGCGTTGGGCCTCCTCCGGGGGCGTTGGCAGAGGGCGTCGGCGACGTCTCGCAGCCCGACGCCCTCCGGGTGGTGGCGGGCGGCGGCGAGGCGGTTGCGGACGCGCCGAACGGGTGGCTCGGCGAGGCGGAGGCGGCTGGCGCGGGCGCGTCTGCGGCCGAGCAGCGCGACGCCGAGGTGCTCGACGGCTCCTGGGCCGATGGCCTCATTCGGGAGGCGCCTGCCTCGGGACAGAAGGAGTGGAAGGCGGGCGGCCGCGTGCGCAACGCGACGGGCCAGAACGCTGGGCGCGCCGGCAGCGTCATTTGTGCAGGGGATGCGATCGCCCGCGTTCGTCTCGACGGCGCTGGGCCGTGCGGCTTGGCCTGCGAGTTTCGCGACAACGTCAAGAGGGAAACCAGGAAACCGCGCGGCGCGGCCGCCGCGGCAGCGGGGACGGTCTGTCGTTGCGGTCCTCCTCGGTTTCTTGTTCGGGCTCCGCTGAGCTCCTCGGGTTTGCCCCAGCTGGTCCTGTCCCCAGTGGCCCGATGATGAAACGATCCTTCTCCTCCTCCTCCTCCTCCTCCTCCTCCTCCTCCTCCTCCTCCACCACTCCCTCCTGCTCATCCTCCTGCTAATCCTCCTGCTGTTGCTCCCGATCCTCCCCCTCTCCTCTGACCGCTTCTCTTTTGCCTCTTCCTCGTCCTCCTCCTCCTCCGCCTCCTCTTCCTCGTCCTCCTCCTCCTCCTCCTCCGCCTCCTCCTCCTCCTCCCAGGACCCCCTCCCACGTTGGCAGTGTTGGCAGCTCCCGCCCCAGCCCGCCGCCAGGACCTGATCTGGATCCCGAGGGCGAGAAGGCGTGGAAAAGGCCGCGGCCTCGGCTCCTCCTGGAACCAGGGGTGGACCTGTTTTGGCGAATTAGTGGGCCGTTTTCATTTCGATTTTGTTTTGCGTTACAGGCGGGTTGAAGACAAAACGAGGGACAACGAAAACAACACGAAAACGAAAAACACCTTTTAGGTTGAGCCCTGCCTGGCACCGCGGGAAAAACGGGAGGCACGAACACGACAAAGCCGACGTGCTTCGGTCCAGGTGTGCTCCGCGGCCGCCCTTCGTCCGTATACAGTCAGGATGCTGAGGCAAGGGCCACAGTACAGTCAACCCGAATAGTAAGGATGGGCAACCCTCCCAAGGGTACCCTGGCATCCTTGCCTCCTGGGTCCATCCTTCGCCACTTTCATCGGCTGCGCCCCGCTCGCAAGCCTTCGACATGGGCGTCCAAGGCCCTTGCATCCTTACCGCGCATCTTTATTGTACGGGTTGACTGTATATAGTCAAGATGCTGAAGCAAGGACCAATGTAGGCTCAGGAGGGTCTCTGGTTTTCGGACCCTTCCCCGGATGAAGGTCGGGGAGCCTCTTCGTTGCATTTGTCAAAGGAGGAAAATCCACCCGGACTGGACAATTGGCGTTTACTAAGCGGCCTTGGGCGTTTACTAGACAGCCCTGCCCTGTTCGATTCCTTCGGTGGGGGCGTTTAGTAAACGGCTTCGCGTGCCGGGGTGGTCATTATGGGGGTGGATTGTTCGACCTCTACCTTGGCTCGCCGCGGTCAGAAACAAGAACCCTTCTTCCTGATACTGCCGATCCGCGATCAACCCTGCTGCGTCCTGGCCGTTGCTCTCCGACGCCCCCCACCCGCAGCGCCTGGCCTTGGTATAGTCGGAGCCGTTGTCTCGGCCCGCGGCGGAGAGAGCCGGCAGAGCCATGGCGAAGCAAGACCCCCGGCGGAGCGAGACGCCGGCGAGGCGAGACCCCGGCGGAGCGAAGCCCGGCGAAGCTCAGCGGCATCGTAATGGGTACTCGCTGACGGGTACTTTGTCGGGGGCGGAGAAGAGGGGGGTGATGACCAGGGGGGGTGGATGTCATGGCGTGGGCCATGATATTTCACCAGATCTCATGGCGCCTCTTCGTCTTTCATTGCGTCCCCGGCCCCCCCGCGGGGCCGCGCACATGCCGCCGGTCATGAGTTGCACCCCCCCCTCTTGGACACCCCCCTTCTTGGCCGCTCCCGAACTCACTGACGGGTACTTTGGAGATGTGCCGAAAGTTGCCGCCTCAGGGCCTTCTTCCGGCATTGCAGCGTTGCCCACAGCGGGGAGGGTCGGGCTCGCCGGGCCGCTGGCCAAAGTACCCGTTGGTGGAGTCCCTGTTGGAGAGGGGCGCTGACGAAGCGAAGCCCCGGCGAAACGAAGCCCAGCGAAGCGCTACCCGGCGAAGCGCAACCCTGGCAAAGCGAACCCGCGCCCTCCCAGAGATCCAACGCACTGAAAAAAACCAAGGCGGGGATGTTTCCAAATGTTCGGCCTTATAGCTGGGTAGTCGAAGGCCAGACTGTCAGATTGGATTGGGCCCCAAGGGCCAATCTGGCCCGGCCAAACTGGAGGATTGGGGTTATTCGCCAGACTGGATTCGCGTTGGCTCCCTCGCCAGATTGCCCCCGTTTGCTAGATTGGGCCTGCCAGATTGGCGCCAGATTGGCTTCGACTACCCAGACTGAAAAAACCAAGGCGGAGATGTTTCCAAATGTTCGGCCTTATAGAAGCCTTCGCCGGGCTCTGGGACCGTCAAAAAGCCGGTCCTGGGGAAAGGGTCGAGACTTCGGGGGACAGCGCATTGAACAAAATCACGACGTCGGATCTACGAACCCGCGCCCCCTCCTCCTTCCCCCCTCTCCCCCTTCCCCCCCCCAGAGATCCGATGTCGTGATTTCTTCTTCACTACGCGGTCCCCGGAAGTCTCGACCCCTTCCCCAGGACCGGTTCTTCATCCTGAGCCGTTTTTGGACGGTCCTGGGGTCCCCGGCGAGGGCCCCTTTATATAGAGGCCGAACATTAGGAAAGACCTCCGTCTTGATTTTGTTCAAGGCGTTAGATCTCTGGGGTTCACTTCGCCGAGGCCTCCGTCTTCATTTTGTTCAATAGGTTGGATCTCTGGGGTTTCCTGCAACCAGCGGCAGAACACGCTCTTTCTGATGGTGATGATGCTGATGATGATGATGATGATGATGACGATGATGACGATGACGATGACGACGATGACGACGACGATGACGATGACGATGACGATGATGATGATGATGATGATGATGATGACGATGATGACGATGATGACGATGATGACGATGATGACGATGATGACGATGGCGATGACGATGACGATGACGATGACGATGACGATGACGATGATGATGATGATGATGATGATGACGATGATGATGATGATGATGATGATGATGATGATGCTTGTGATGGTGATGGTGTTGGTGATGGTGATGGTGATTGTGATGGTGATGGTGATGGTGATGGTGATGGTGAAGAGGAGGTGGAGGAGGAGGAGGAGGAGGAGGAGAAGGAGGAGGAGGAGGAGGAGCGCTCCGACGCGTGGAGTCCGATGTCGTGACCGCGTTCGCGTCTTCCCCCTCCGACGCCGAGGCCCCGGGGCAGCCCCCGCCCCCGGCGCGCCGGCGCCGGAGCCGTCGGCGGAGGACCCGCGACGCGCCCCCGCGGGGGCCGCGGGGGGGGGGGGGCCCGCCCGGGGGCGGGCGGAGGCCGGAGCCCGGGTCTGGACGCCCGAAGTGGGTACGGTAGGTTCGCGTCGTGTCGACCCGCGGCGACCCCAGCGCGGGCGTTCAAGGTTGAACGCCGCCGGCGACCCAGAATCGGTCGATGTTGAACGATCGGACGTTACGGAAATGGCCGATCGTTCAAGGTTGAACGATCCTCGTGGCGTCAGGGACCAACGCCGGGGTCGACACGACACGAACCTGCCGTACCGAAAGAATGGGTACAATGCCCAACAGCAGTTCCTGTTCATTTTGCACAGGACTCGCTGTCCGCGCCGCCGCGGCCTGTGTCCATTCGAGACAGAAGGCCGCCTGCCCCACAGCGGCCGCTGTTGGTTTGGGACAACATTTGTTGTTGGGCATTGTACCCATTCTTTCGGTACCCATTTCGGGTGTCCATACCGGGGGGGGCTGCGGATGCTACGCCGGGGGGGCTCGGTTCGCCTAGGGTCAAGTCGGGCGTGTTCCCCTTTTGCAGGGGGATTGAAGACGGACCACAGAAAAAAAATACCTCCCAAAAATGCTCCAAAATGGCAAAAAGATGCTCCAAAAATAGTCCCCAGACTATTTTTGGACTATTCTGTTATTATTGTGGGGGTATTTTGTATTTTTCGTCGAAAATCCCCCTGGAGGGGGACAGGCCCGACTTGAACCTATGGTGAAGTCGGGCCTGTCCCTTGACAGGGGGAATTTCAAAAACACAAAAGCAGAATAGTCTGGGGACTATCTTTTGACCATGTCTGAGAATTTTGGGGGCATGTTTGAAGTCTGTTTTTTGGTTAAAAAAAAAAATCGCCCAAAATCCCCCTGTAGGGGGACAGGCCCAACTTCAGCCTACGGTAGGTTCGTGTCGTGTCGACCAGCGGCGACCCCGCCAGCGGCGTTCAGCTTCAGACGCCGCGGGCGACCCAGAATAGTTCGATGTGGAACGATTTGGACGTTTCGGAAACGACCGATCGTTCAAGGTTGAAGACTCCCCGCGGTGTCAGGAACCCACGCCGAAGTCGGCACGACACGAACCTGACGTAGGCCTCCGAGATGGGGTCCGAGCAGGTGTGATGACAAGTGCGATAAAAGAACTGTGATATACAACTTGTTGTTTACCACATGTGTTTTTTAGCACAGTTTTCTTCACCACACGTGTTGTTGTTTCCTCACACGTGTTCATATCACGCTCGTTTTTCCCAGCCATCCTGTGGTGTTGGGGCCTCGTTTTGAAGAGACAGCGCCCCGCGTCTCCTCGCTCACTCCTCCTCCCCCTTCTCCCCCTCCACTCCCTCCTCCCCCTTCTCCCCCTCCTCCCCCTCCCCTCCCCTCCCCCTCCTCCACAATTGCTCAATATGAATACTATTCTCCCTCTTCCCCTGATGACGGTTTGAAAATGCTCGACCCCCCCCGCGTACTGTTTTGTTACACACCGGTTTCCCCGGAGTTGGGTTTTCGCTTGCATGTTTTTCAAAATGCTGCTCTCGCTGAGGCGCCGGCCTCATTTTCGGGCCCCGCTCGTTCCGAATCGTGCTCCGGCTGCAGCGCTGGCCTCATTGCCGTGCTTCCGCTCGTTCCGAATCGTGCTCCCGCTGCAGCGCTGGCCTCATTTCCGCGCTTCCGCTCGTTTCGACTCGTGCTCACGCTGCAGCGCTGGCGGCCTTTCCCGTGCCATGCCACGGCATGCAATGCAATGCTAGGTTGATACTATGCTTTGCGGTGCTCTTCTACGCCATGCCATGCCGTGCTCTACAATGCATCGCGTACCCTTTCGGGATCCTTGCCCTGCTCGACATACGACGGTGCGAGTAGAGAGGGGATCTACGCCATGGTAAGGGATGGGAGGGAGGGGTAGGATGTCAGATATGACGCGAGCGCACCTAGCTTGCCCTCCTCCCCTCTCCCCCTTCTCCCCCTCCTCCCCCTCCCCCTCCGACCCCTCCCCTCCCCTCCCCCTTCTCCCCCCTCCTCCCCCTCCCCCTCCTCCCCTCCCCTCCCTGCCTCTGCTCTCTCGCGTGCCCATTCCGGCGCACCCTTCACGACGCTTCGTGGCCTTTGGGCCCCAGCGGCGGGGCCCGCATGTGCAGCTCCGCCTCCAGCTCGGCGCACCCCTCGCGCGCTTGGTGGCCCCATGGGGCGCTCCACCGCAGGGCCCCAGCGGCAGGGTCCGCATATGCAGTTCCACCGCCAGTTCGGCGCACCCCTCACGCGCTTCGTGGCCCCACGGGGTGCTCCACCCAGGGTCCCAGTGGCAGGGTCCGCATGCAACTGGTTCCACCTCCGTTTCGGCGCACCCCTGACACGTTTCGTGGCCCCATGGGGTGCTCCACCCAAGGCCCCAGTGGCAGGGTCCTCATGCAGTTCCACCTCTATTTCGTCGCACCCCGCACACCTTTCGTGGCCCAGTAGGGAGCTCCATCGAAGACCCTGGTAGTGGCAGCGCCCGCACGCGGTTCTACCCTGCATTCGGGCGCACCCCTCACACGTTCTGTGGCCTCACATGGGGCTCCACCGACGGCTCCAGTGGCAGCGTCCGCATGGCGCGTACCCGGGTCAATTTTGGCACACCCGTCACACGCGTCGTGACCCCAGAGAGGTCCACCGAGGTCGGTACCCACTACTCACGACTGCGTTACTCACAACTGCACATGGTTGGGTCCCTCGCCAGGATAAGTTTACAATACTTGTTGTTGTTCTTTATCACACTTGGTTTTTATCACAGTTGTTCGGGGACGAAGGATCGCGCCGCATCGCCGATGCAGCGGCGATTCTGTCCGATGCGAAGCCTGGACTTCTCTATGCCGACGGCGCCGATGCATCGTCGACGTCACCGATGCATCGCCGATGCATCAGCGATGCATCCACGATGCATCGGCGATGCAGCACGACCCTCCAACCCCATCTACTCGGACCCCATCCAGGAGGCCTACAGTTCGGCATCGGCGCTGGCGCACCCGTGGTGGAGAACCGGCCTAGTCTCGCGGAGTCCCGTTCGATTCCGGTCGATTCCCGCTTGGTCCAGGTTCTTCGTGGGCTTATTTCGGGCCAGTCCGGCTCAACGGCCACGTGAACGGGGCCCATTTGTCATGCTTCTGACGAAGACCTCAGAACGCCAGGCCGGACCAAGAGGTGGGATGTTGGGAAAGCGGGGTGTACGGATGGTGTACGAAATTCAGGAGGGGAACAAAAAACACAGACACAAACAATCGTCGATTCCCCAGAGAATAAGGGAAACTATGGGAAGTGGGGGGGGGAGAACAAAAGCTGAGAGAATGTCAGAAAATAGGGGGAATCCTGTTATGTGTGTGTGTGTGTTTGGTTGTGTGTCCCAGGGCCCCTCCAGCCAGGTCGGACCAGGAGGTGGGATGTTGGGAAAGCGGGGTCTGCAGATGGTGTACAGTCGGGGCCCTGAAGAAGGAACCCTTTTCGTTGGGGAGGGGCTCCGTGTTCCTTAAGTGTTTCGCAGCTTGCCTCAGGTTTTCCGAGTGTTTTCGATCGGAAATCGAAGTTCAACTTATGGAAAATAGGGACCTCGTGCCTTCTTTAGGGTTCCTTGGGTCAACGCTCCGACTGTACGCAGCTTGTTGCATGCAGCTGATCTTGGCCGCGCCGCCGGGCGCGCTTTCGTCTGCACGCTGGTGGCGCGGGTGCCTGGACGCGCCAAGGAATTGCAGCCACTGGGCATCGCTCGGACGTGTGCATTTTTCCTTCGGCGAGGACCATCGAGGAGCATCCTTGATCATTTCGCGAAAAAGCCACGCACGAAACCGAAAAAAGCACAGGGAATGGACGTCCGAGCGATGGCGAGCCCAGCTGCGCGATCTGATGCACTGACCCGCCCTTCACTAACACTCCTTCCTCGGAAGCTGGAACATATACATTACCAGTGGTGGGTTGTTTCTTCAATCCCACGACTTTTTGAGGGTCGGGGGCGACGTCGGGGTAGTGTGGTGTATACATGTCCCCCGTTTTCCAAGGGAAGCAGCGACAAATGTATACACCTGGATGCCGTATACACCAAGATCCGCGTTCCTGTGTGAACTTCAGCGCAGGGTCGGAAAAAACGTCGGTGCATAGAGTTCGTTTCCCTACTTCTTGTCCGACCCGAGACCAGTGTGGTGTGGTGGTCGGTTCGTTGGAACGTTTTCGATTGTTGTTGGTGGTTTCTGGACGTTTGCACCGGTTCTGATGCGATCCAGCAGCCGCGCCTCGCCGAGAGCGTTCCAGGGGTGCTTGGATCGTCCCGAACGGCCGCCGCAGACCCGAGATGTGGCCATTCAGCCACGATTTTGGAGGCTCGAGGATCGACCTTCTTCAGGACGTGTGTTGGCACAATGTTCGGGTTGACCCAGGTCCAGCGACAGGGGGGTGGTGCAATCGATTTGGTGCAATAGATCTGCGGGGTGCAATGCGTTTGGAGCGTGCCATATGTAATACTCGCAATTAAATGCAATACGATTCTCCGGCGCAAAACATGTGCAATACAATTGCCCCAAATTTCGGGGGCGGCAAAGAGGGGGGTGATGACTAAGGGGGGGGGATATCATGGCGGGGGCCATGATATTTCCACAGATTTCATGGCGCCTCTTCTTGTTCCATTACGTCCATGGCCCCCCCGTTGGGCCGCGCACATGCCGCCGCTCATGATTTGCGCGTCCCCCTCTTGGACGCCCCCCTCTTGGCCGCCCCTGAAAATCTATTCACCACCCCCTTTCAGCTGGACCCCCCTTCTGGGCCGCCCACACTATGCGCGTACCCCGCTCAGCTCGTCCGCTGGCACGCGGCCCGTGTCGGCCCTCGCTGCGTTCCTTTGGTAATCTGCTCGCAAGGTTGCCCTCCTGCGTCTCCTCGTCAGCCTTAGGTCGGGCCTGTCCCCCTACAGGGGGATTTTGAACGAAAAATGAAAAATAATCAAAACATGCTCAAAAGATGCCCAAACATACTTAAAAAATAGTCCCCAGACCGTTTTGTTTGAACATTTTTAAGTATTCCCCCTGTAGAGGGACAGGCCCGACTTAACGTCAGTCTGCTCCTGCTGCTGCTGCTCCTCCTGCGCGTCTGTCCTCCGCCTCTCCTCACCCATCGAGGCACGGAAGTTATCGATCAGCTACCGCCCGACGAACGGAGGATAGCGAGAGCTGACTCTGCAGCGGATAGGTTTGCGAAAGATGCCCGTTCCCTGCATGCGCAGGAACCCCAGGATTCGTGGGATGATTCAACATCCTGATTGGAACGGCTCGCGCCGTCGCCAGGGTCATGGCCTCCGTCTTGCCTTTGTTCCCTTCTCTGCCAGTTCCCTGAACGTAAGATTAAGTCGGGCGTGTTCCTCTACAGGGGGAATGTTCAAAAATAGTCAAAAAGTAGCCAGGGCACGATTTTTTGCAGATTTTGTTGATTTGTTTTGACCATCGAGGACATGTCGTGTCCTCGGCAAGCAAGCGCCGCCTCAGTCGAATGCTCCGCGGGCTTCCTCGCCAGTCAACCCGTGCTGTTTCTGGTGCAGTTCTCCGCACGTGCTGCAGACCCACCTGCCTGCGCAACGGGCTGTGTGGCTGCAGCGGCCCCAGGACGTTCTTCCAGGCAGCGGCTCAGTTTCAGGATTGGAGGCGACGAGGCAGCGGATAGCAGCAAAAGAGGAGGCAGGTTCAACCCACGTTGAACGTGTTACCCCCGGCGGGCAAAAAAACACTCCTCAGGGGCAACGTTGGGAGGATCGGTTCAGTTGGCGATGTATCGCTGATTGATGCCAGGTGCAGTTCCCCCCGTGAGCGGGTCCCCCCAGAATGTTCCCCATCATTCTGGTGCTCCACTTGTTTTTCTTCTTCTTTTCCTCTCTCTCCTTTCTCCCCCTCCCCCCCCACTGCATTGCTGCACAGGCAGGCGAAGAGATGGGCATTGGCGGCTGCGAGGAGGATGGGTAGCAGCAGTAGCGGGGCGATGAACACGTGGAATAAATGAGGATCACGAGTGCGCGTCGTAGGAGGAGTGAAAAGTCAGGAGGCGGAGGAAGGAGAGGAAGCATCGAAGGAACAGGAGTACAAGGATGAGGATAAGGGATAAGGGTCAGGAGGAGGAGGAGCAGGAGGAGGAGGAGGGAGAAGAAGAGGAAGAGACGGAGGGAGAGCAGAAGGAAGAGGACGAGGAGGAGCAAGTTTGGAGCTGGTTTCCGTCAGGACCGGATACCGTGTCTCTTGCTGACGTGCCCGTCCGCCAGGCTCCCGGGATGGGCGGGCCAGTTACGCTCTGCGGCCAGGAGAGGGGCAAGGGTGGCGTGAAGAACTACGTGCGAAAAGGATGAGGAGGATGAAAGGGAGGAGGGGCAGGAGGATGGGATGGAGAGGAGGAGGAGGAGGAGGAGGAGGAGGAGGAGGAGGAGAAGGAGGAAGGGAGGAGGAGGAGGAGGAGGAGGAGGAGGAGGAGGAGGAGGGATGGGAGGAGGGAGAGGAGTGTGAGAAGGCGGGGGCGTCATTGCTCATAGCAGTCGCAAGAATAGGCGCAATCACACAACCTTCCACATGAGGAAACCAGGACAGGGCGGGTGAGGATGCGGAGGCGCCACACCAGGTAACAAGAGCCCCATCGTAGGATCTGGTAAGAGAGATTGGAATGTTCCCCCCTGTCGGGATAATCAGCTCCCTTTGTTTGTTTGCTATTGTCCAGTCGTAATGTCAGACCACAGGGGATGTAATACCCAACGCCGTTGTTCACACTCTTGGGACACGGATGCGTGCGCAGGCTCGTCTAGCGTAGTTTTGATTATTGTGTTGTTCTTGGTAACCCCTGGCTGCTTGGCGCACTTTCTTCCATGCTCCTCGTCTTTCTTCTTCATGGTTGATGTTTTGCATGGTGGAGTCCTGGTCATTCTGGTTGCATTGGGGTCAGGATGACCAGGTGCGCCCATGCTGAATCACCGAGTGTCAGTCCAGCCAAGTCCAGATCCCCCCCGCGCCACCTCTTGCAAAACACGATGCGTTGCACCTTCTCGTCGGTGGCGAGGCAGAGGCTACCGCACCAGCGGTCGGGACGATGCGTGGCACGTGCGTTGATCTACAGTCGGGGCTCTGAAGAAGGCACCCTTGTGTTTCGCAGCTTGCCTCAGGTTTTCTTTATGTTTACGATCGGAAATCGAAGTTTAACTCATGGAAAAAATGGGGCCTCGTTCCTTATTTGGGGCTCCTTAGGTTAAGCCCCCGACTGTAGGAACTGCGATGTGCAACCATCCTTGCCACGAGCGCGCTCCCGCGCGCGTGCATGACGGCATTATATTGGAGAGCTATCTGCTGCCTGGCCAGTCCGAGAAATCGTTGTCCCAGGCTACAGCGAGCTTGAATCGGGGGTGGACAGACCTCCTACCCTGACACGTCGATTAGTGAATTGTCCGTTTTCGGTTTTCGAGACGGCGCCGCGGCCGTCATTTTCCAGGCTTGCGCCCGCCAGATTTGGGCCCGAGGTCGTTTTCACTAAACCACGTTTTACTAAAGGGAGGTCTGTCCATCCCCGAGCTTGGTGCATGTTTCAAGCAAAGGTTTCCAGATTTCCGCGCGCGCGCACTCGCTGATGTCTGCAGCACACCATGTGCTCGCTATCGTTCTTTCATGCGCCACCATTCGGGCTGCACGCGCGCGCCTGCGCCGAGCGCCGGCAACCACCGCGAACCCGCCCACCTGCCAACAAACAAAGCCATGCGGGTCACGGTCACGGGTCATGCGGTCCGAAAGATTTTTCACCACCACTGGTGGTGCAAGTTCAACACGTACACCGAGCGCGTTCCGCTACTCGCAAAGTGCCTACTCGCAAACGTCCGAACAACACATGTCTGCTTTTATGTAATTTCTTGTAGGCTTCCCGCGGGGGATCCAGGCCATTTGCGAGTAGTGGAACGCGCTCGTCTACACATGTCGGCGGCATCGTCCCCACCGCCGTCATCAGCCTCGTCACGATCATTGTCGTCATCGTCGTCCTCGTCACTGGCGCCACCATCACCTACATTAGACGGGTCCTCACGTCACTGCACCAAACGAGCTTTGCCAGCAGGATCTTGGTGGGTGGGTGAGATATGTTCTCGAGCGTTGGAGTTTTCGGCTGCATGTTCCACAGGGGGGTTGCATCGCACATCTTGCGTCACACTGCTTACGTCGCATTGCTCGCGTGCCTCACATAGCTGACGCATTACAGTTTAGCCAACGAAGACTGCGCCACACTTCTTGCATCATATATCCTGCACCACGCAACTTACTCAACAGTACAATCATCCACTGTGTGGATTTCGCGGTGACGAACATGTTGTTATATTTGCGGGTGGTTGCAGGGTTTCTTCTGCTTCTTGTCGTTCCTCCCCTCGAGGTTCCTCGTCATCTATTTCCACAGTAACGCGGAGGACAGTTTTCAGTTTCGGCCATGTCCAAAGCCCAGGGATGACTAATGCGATTGATGTTGTACATTTTGCGGGGTATGCGCCCAGCGTGCATAGACTGACGACGACAGTGAGTTGCACATGGGCAGCCTGCATCATGCTCAGTTCGTGACCAGCTCCCTTCTAGCTACAGTTTGGCTAAGCCATGAGGGAGATGGAGAGGCGGAGCGTGAGATCGATTGAAGGAATGACACGTGTGCAGACAAACATGCGAGAAAGGGAGAGGGAGAGAGAGGGGATGATGTCAACAACACAACCACCAAACCACCAACCATACGTAGACGCGTCATTACATACACATATATTTGTATTTAATCGCTTTGCTCATTCCGCCGGCCCATGTAGCCTCATCTCTGCTGTTTGCCCGAAGGATCGTTGTCAATGCGGCGTTGGTGGGGTTTTCTTGGCAGGAGTTTCGGGAGTCTCTTGGAGGCAGTGTTGAAGCCTTTTCAGGTCTTTTGGGTGCTGTTTTGGGAGCCCTGGGGGCTTGTTTTTGGGCATCCTGGGGGCTTCTTGGGGCCGTTCGGGGGCTTCTTGGGGTCTGGTGGTGGTCGCGGAGGTGTTC